ACTTCTTCATTTTCCATTTTTGACCATTTTCCTGTTATCATGAAATTTATTACTTCTTGTAATTCTTCGTCCTCTCCTGTCTCACTTCTGATGTCTTCATTACTTATGGGCCATGTTCCTAAGTTTTCTGTGAAATTAATATATAAATCATCCATAGTTTCGTCCAAATGAGACTTCATTGGTTTTCTTGACAAATAATCTGCTACTGGATTATTTTTGCCTTTTATATACTCCATCTTATAATTGAACATTGACATAAAAGCTGCCCATCTTTGCAGTCTATTTGCTGCCATTTGCGGTATTCCTTTGTTTTCACCCAGTATAGAAACAAGTGGTTTGTGATCTGTTCTTATTATAAATTGCTTACTAGGGGATGCTAAATATGGGAAAAATTTGTTAAGTGCGAAATTTATGGCACATGCCTCTAAACAAGTAACTGAATAATTTTTTTCTGCTGGTGATAGAGTTCTTGACGCACACGTCACTATTTTTTCCTCACCCTTGATCATGTGGCTAAGAATGGCACTTAGGCCTTTTGTGCTGGCGTCGGTTATTACAATTATTGGAAATTCAGGGTTAAAGTGTGCCAGAATCATGTCTGTCGCGATCACTTTCTTAATTTCCTGGAAACTTTGTTCACATTCTTGGGACCATTTATAAACTTTGCCCTTTTTCAATAGATCATAAATTGGGCTTAAAATATTTGCTAATTTTGGCACAAATTTGGCATAGTAATTTACTAAACCAATAAAGCTTCGTGTTTCTGACACGTTAGAAGGTCTTTCGGCTTCTACTATTGCTTTTATTTTGCTTTCCATTTTTTTTATTCCCTGATCACTAATGTTATAGCCTAAATAAATTATTTCCTTTTCAAAAAAAATTACACTTTTCTTTCTTTAAAGTGAAACCTGCATTTTGCAATCTCTCGAAAACTTTTTCAAGGTTCTGATTGTGATTTTGTTTTGATGATCCTGATACCACAATGTCGTCTAAAAAACTAACTACTCCATCCAGACCTTGCAAAGTTTGTTCGATTATTCTTTGAAAAATGCTAGATGCTGGTATTATGCCAAAAGGCATTCTATTTACTTTGAAAATTCCACGGGGTGTTGTTAAAGCTAAAATTTTTGACGTTTCCTCATCTACTTCGATTTGATTATAAGCTGATTTAAGGTCTATTTTAGAGAAAAATTGGGCTTTGCTAAATTTGGAAAAAACCTCATCAATGTGTGGTAAAGGATAGCTTACAGGGTTCAAGAATTTGTTTACTGTTGTCTTATAATCCCCGCATAAACGAATGGATTTCAGATCCCCTTTTATGACTGGTACAATTGGTGTTGCCCAGCTGCTATGTTCAACCTGAGTTAAAACACCATCTTTTTCCAATTTACGCAATTCTTCATCTACAGCGTCTTGAAAAGCTAAAGGAATTGGCCTACTCTTACAAAAAACTGGCCTGGAATTTTCCTTTAATTCTAAAGTTATCTTTGTATGGACATATTTACCTAAAGTATCACTAAAAAGTTTGGGAAATTTCGAAATAATATTATTGATTTCTTGGTCCACTGAAATATTGTTAATAAAATCAATCTTAACGTTGAAATTAGTCATCCAGTCCCGACCTAAAATGTTTTCTCCCCCCGTGCGAACGACATACATCTTATTTTGTTTAACAATATTTTTAAAATTTAAATAGGGAGTGAAAAAACCATCTGGCTCAAAAATACTACCGTTATAGCCTTTTAACAAGGTGTGGTCTTTAAATAGTTCATAGTTTGAAAAATATTTTGAAAATGTTTTATGATTGATAGCAGAAATAGCAGAGCCACTATCACACAAGAATTTAATTCTTATATCATTTAACAAAACTTCTATGCTGACATCCTTTTTAGAATCACCCTTGGACAAATTAGAATAATGCATATCAAAAATTTGCAAGTTTTCTTCAACATTATCAAATTGAATTTCGTTTTCAGGGTTAATTATGTTTACATGTTTATTTTTAAAACAACTTTTAATGTTGTGTCCAGTTTTTTTTACATTTCGAACACCAAAAATTACAAAAACCTCTGTGATATTTATTGCAGTATTTACATTTTATAAAAGAATTTGTACTATTACCTTGGTAATTTTGTCCCGATATCGTGGATCGTCTGTTGTTGTTTTGGTTTTGTCTTTGATGGCTGCCGCCATGTTGACGTTGGTTCGGCTGGTGCTGTCTCTGTCGGACTTGCCCATTCCACTGACCATGACCATTTCTTGAGCTTGCGCCTTGTTCACGTTGCCTTGATTGCGTCATTTCATGACCTCCACTTGCTTGCGGTTGCGCAGTGGTTCTTCCTCCTTGGAAATGCGAATGACGTGAATTTTGCTGAAATTTTCCATTTTTGGACATGGAAAAAACTTCGGCGAAGGCGTTTTCGGTTTTCAGGGCTAGAGAGTATAAATCTCCTAGCTCCTTTGAATCGTCTTCTTCACATAATCTGTCTAAGACTTTTCCGGGAGACAATCCCGTGACGAATTTGTCTTTCAAAATGGCCATCAGCTGGTTACCAAACTCGCATGTGGTCGCTGCTGCTCTCACACTGGCATACCAATCTACAACTGACAAATTACCTTGTTTAAACTGGTAGAATTTGATTCTTTCCCTCCAGATGCTCTTATGCACGGCGTACTGCGTCCTCAGGAGTTTGCCCAAATCTTCAAAAGACTTCGAATCGGGGGCATTCGGATAGGTTAGATTCTTGAGGAGCTTGAAAGTTTCTTGGCCTACTGAACTTAGCAAAAGTGCTACTTTGATTTTTTCATCTGTTAATTGATTGACCACAAAATGCTGTTGCAGTCGCTCGGAATACACTTCCCATTCATCTACATCACAGTTAAATTCATAAAATCTTGGAATGCTTACGTTTGTAGTGCCATTGTTCGTCGCCATTTTCTAATTTGCACGTCGCCTCGTGGATTATTTAATGATTTTTTTCCATTAATCATGGGCTTTTCTTCCCGCAGATTTCGATTTACCTCGTCGCCAATTATAATATCTCGATTGAGAGTTAAATAAATACTTTTATTTCAAATATATCACATTTTATTTTTATCACAGATTTAAAGGTATGTTGATAGTTTGGAGGCCGTTGCAGAAAGTAATTCTTTTTTTTCGCGAGCGCGCAGTCTATCACGCATGTGCGTATAGCCTAATTGGTCGAATTGACCTCGGGTTATTATCCTACACAGGGAGGGACTCGATATAATCATATATGTATATGACAATATGCTCGTTGAAGAATATACTATTACATGCTGAAAGACTCAAATACTCAAACTATGTATAGACTTGGAGGATAAGATTATAAATCCTACACCAGATCTCGGAGATAGTGAATACGATGAAGAGGAGGACATAATGAGGTTCTACCTAGGGGAGAAGACATTATAGAATTTCCACTAATCCATAGGGAAATGATAAGAAACGAGAATGAAGAAGTTGTCGATCGAAATGAAATTAATGACGTCAATGATGAAATAAAGGGGCAAGAAAAAGATTAATTTTTAGCACGGGGACAAGAATTGCCCGTAAGGCGCAGAGAGATGGGAGACAGCGATAGCGAAATTGAAGAAGAAAATATAAACCTAGAAAATGAGGGAAATTCGGAAGAAGAAGAAGAGGTCGAGGAACACGATCCTGAAGTACCAAGATGTACGAGGACACGGGACATAGAATGATCCGCTAGATTTAAGGATTATGTACTAAAAAAGCTGTAAAATGTAAAAAAAATTAAAGTAACTAGGAATTAAGAATAATCTAGAATGCATAAGGAAGGATAACTATAAAATTTGAGAATAAGAAAAATAGAGTAGAATGTAAGGATACATAAATTTAAAGGCCGCAACTTAGGTAATTAAGGAACTAAATGTATAAAATTTGTTTAGACCTTTTGAAACATACTGTTAGAAAATAATAGGTACCAAGAAAACGACGAACTCTTTCCGCTACCATGTATATTCATGTCGAAAGGGAACGTTTAAACAATGCCGTCCTACTGATGAAATTCCGACGAGCCAGTAGGAGCAATCACGAAGACCATGGTAGCAGTAGCCAACTAGAGCCAGTAGCCACGAGAGTAGAGCCAGTAGCAAACTAGCGGGAGTTCCCAGGAGCAGCATCAGTATCCAGATCGTAACTATCCTAGATACATAGGTACTTCTGTGAGATTGACAGCGAAGTTACAGGCAACCAACCAACTTTGCTACAAGTAAAGGGTTACTATTTTGTAAGGTTGAAGTTTTTTTCTGTTTGTTTGAGACATTACACCGATGAATTTTGAAAAGTTAGTTAACTTCATTCTTAAGAAATTCCTAAAAGACAAAATCCATTGGTGTAATGTCTAGAGATTTCGGAGGCCCGTTAATGGGCCCACTAGTGGCAATCAATATTCCTGGAAGTAAGAGCTTGATATGTCATTGGATTTAGAAAAAAAAAATTTAAAAGTAGAGTTTATTAGGCATAAAATGAAAAATTTCAATCATTTGAAAAAACAAAGTTGATGATGATCTCGAAGAACCAAAACGTCTGATCAAAAACCTAATAATATTATCATGTAGTGGAGAAAAAGGGGCAATGAGAATGTGAAGTTTATTTTGCCCTATCATTTCAAATAAAGTCAGAAAAAAATAAAAACGATTTCGACAAAATTCGGTTTTTCGTGGATGTGGTTATTTACGAAATCGGAATTTCCGAAACATCACAACATGACGTCACTGAGCTCAGTATTGCGCAACTTTTTCCAAATTTAACCAACCTTGTAGCACTTATGGTTACCAAGATCCCTGTAGAGTGCATTTTTATCAGGGACACCCTGTAGATATATCTTAAATCTGGTTTGGGTTAAACTACTAAAACACGGTCATATTTTTATAGTTTTATTTTATAATTTTCCATACAAATTATAAACATGTTTTCTTTAAAATACTGTACAACATACAGAGCAAAAGTTTTATATTTATAACCTTTCTGATATGGCATTTATAGATATGAATCAAAAACCTTCATAATACAATATTATGATTTAGGTGGAAAAATTGCCTAAGAAGAAAAAAACATGAAATTGTTTGAAATGCCATCGTATACAAAAATAACGAAAAATAATAGTTATGCAAATATAAAATAAATATTATCTATGTCTGTGGGATAAGAGTTCCTCCTTGTACACCAGGCTTATAATTATGATCAATGGATTTCAATTTTGGAATTGCCATTTTTTTATCGATAATCAATGAATGATGATCAATGGCATATATCACGTGATACTGACAGACGAAATATTTGTGGAGCAACTATTATTATTATTATTATTATTATTATCATTAGGTAGGTTTCATCGATGTTTAGAAATCGTTGGTGTCTGGTCTTGATAGTGTTCTTATCCGACTGGTATAAGTAGGTATCTATTAAATTCTAGAAAAGTATAAGAAGGCAACTCAAACAATTATTATTAGGTATTACAGAGCTCAAAAAAAAAAACATAAAAATTAAGCCATACTCTGGGTTTTACAGAAATATTTATTTACAAAATTCGCATTTTCATATTTACAAACTCTGACACCATCTCTTGAGTCATTTTAAAATAGATTTTTTTTAGAGTTACTTATTGTTTATTAGAGAGTCTTATTTAGTAATTTTGATGGTCATTCTAGAAAAAAAATACCTTCACAGAAGATATCATGCGCTAGGTTAATTAATTTAATTAAAAGAAAAAAACATACAAAAACTCACTCTAAAATTTAACTTATTTTAAAATTATACTTAAAAAGCTACCACGAAAAATTGCTCAAGTGTTAAATCGAAACAATTTTTTTTAAATTTATAATTTCAAATCTAAGAGATCAATACATTGCCGCCTGTATTTGAAAATAATAATAGTTTTTTCGGTACAGTAATTTACTTAATTGCACAAAAATATGTGAAGAGCAATATTCAGTTTTAGATGAACCAATGTTGAAAATTATGAGGCATACCATACTCATTCCAAAACTGAATATTACATCACGATTTTACATTCTTTACATATAAAAAGAGATATAAATAAATAAAATAATTATCTTCAAAGGCAAACCAGGAAGCAATCAAAAAATAATTTCAATAATATATATTTTTTTTTAAATACTGTGTATTTTAATAATTAAAATTTTCTTATTTTTATTATAAATTCTATAATTATTTTATACATATAAAATGTTAAAAATTATCATCACAAATAGCAAACTCTTATAACCTACCAGGGGGATGTTTAAACCTAGATAAATTCTTTGTCTAAATTTATTTTAAAATAAATTTGAAATTCGATTTCCTATTTTGTCAATTTTCCAGTAAAATTTTTGGAAATCTACAATTTCAAATCAAATATTGCAAGAAATAAAAAAAAAAGCAGGTGACCTAAAATAAAAAAGAATCTCCATAGTAAATCAGTACGTCTAATAAGGACATAAATAAAATAAATAATTTATTTAAGGATGGAATAATTGTTATGGCTAAAACTGGGCAATATAATATGTAAATTCAGATATAGGAATTCTAGAAGTTTCTTTATACTTCTAAATTCTCTTGCAATCTGCATGATATCAGACCAGATAATAGAGAATTTCCATTTCATACTATGTGATTTCCTAGATCCTGAGTCTCGTGAATAGCTCATTACAGTACTAAGACCAGTTCAAATCTAGCCTGGAATGTTTTTTTTTTTTCATATTCAATATTGTAATGTGCTGACAGGAATTGAAAAAAAAAGAGAATCTATTTTGGGTTTTTTTAGAATAACGCTGTTGTTTTGAGTAAGGGTAACACAAATTTAATTTCATGGATTATTTTGAGGAGGCAACAAAAAACTGTTCACTGCCTGCTTTAAGAAATTTCATAAAATAATCACCCAGTTTTATCATGTCATAAATTTATATTAACGAAACCCAAAAGAATATTTTCAATAAAATATGTATTTGTTCCTGAATTTCCAGTAAGTAATCAAATATTTGGGTTATTAATTATTATTGCAGCTCAAATTATTGTTAAATTGAAAACTTAAAGAATTCCCTATGAAAAATAATATGTGAGTATATCAGAAGCTTTTCAATACAAAAATACATATATTATATATTTTTTTGATCGGTAAGATTGCTGAAAAATCTAAGCTCTAATAAGATCACCCTGTACGAGATTAAAAATATTGTGCCTTGAAGCTTGCATAGAGAAATCTTCAGCTTAAAAAGTAACAGAAAGTAGTATGTTCCAGCAAAAAATCGAACTCAAAGCTTTCAATTGGCCTAAAGTGAGAATTCTTGTTGAAACAAACAAAAATATTGCAAAAAAAAAGGTCATCAAGGATGAAAGACTTAAGCCTAAAAGTACGTTTTGGGGGAAGAAAATCATAAAACAATCTAAAATAAAAAACAAAAAAAAAATCCTCTGTAAAGCAAGTAGTACCTTGCTAGCAAAAAAACTTAATGGACAAAAATATCTTTGCTTGTGAGTATAAAATTCTTGTAAATTTACCAATAAATAATTTTTGTATAATATAAATTTTAAAATAGAAAAAAAATCAAGATTCTTATACTCCCAGCGGGCTCGAATAAAAATAAATGGCAAAAAAAATCTCAAATAAAAATGTTCTAAAATTATCGTTACACCAAGTAACTATTTTCTTTTAATAATTAATTAATACTAAGTATTGTAAGTGTGTAGGCACTGAAGTGAAAGGATGTTACTTGTAGTAGAACGATCCCGCGCTCGCGCTAGTCTTTCACCAGCCTGTAGATGTGGTGCTGAGCGCCGTGTTCTCCTGTCGCCACCTCGAACACGTACGCCGTACAAAGGAGTGTTTCTTGAGTATCTCGGTTGGTTACGACCTGAAACAAATAGGAACATTTAATAATAAATTGTCATAATAAGGTGGTAGGTATACAGATGGTTTCACCAGGGTTCATACTTTTAATATCGAACACGTCATGACTTGAAAAAAAGGGTTACCGTAGATTAATTCATATGAGATATTAATTTTTTTCCACAAATTAAAATGAATGACTTCTGGTTTAAGAATCGACGAACGTTTTTGACGTCATTGATTTGTTTCAGTCAATTTCTATTTGTTATTTATTTATTTATTTATCGTTCAGATATCAACAACCAGGAGCCAATTACAGACATCCAGTTAGGACTAACATAAAGCTTAACAATACACTTAAAATGAAATAAAGATATGTATTAAACACAAACATTTTTACTAAAACTAAACAATACATACTTAAAATGGTTGGTTGGTTGGTCAATCAAAGTTTTTTAAAATTTTTAAGATTTATTATGTCTATGTCAATCTGAAGCATACCGATTAAAAACTGAACACATTCTAAATATAGGTGAGTTTTTGTACAGATTGGTTTTAGGAAACGCTAAATAGAAACTGTTTGAATTCCGAAAATTAATTCGATTTATCGCAAATGGTAACTGGCCAAGAATATCAGGACCATTTATTTCACCCTTCAGCAACCTAAACATTGTGCAAAGAATTATTTTGCATCTCCTTTTCTCCAATGACACTCTCCCAAAGACACCCAATAAATATTCATTATTACAACCTCTTTGTGGGGGTAGAATCCATATTTTCTATAATAAAGAGATTTTGGAAATTTCTTTTGCACCCCCTCAATAATCGTTATCTATACATTATATTGAGGATTTGTGTTTCTTGAAATAAATCCTGTTACCCTCTGAGCACTTTCAATTTTTGCAAGAATGTGCTCAGTGGAAGTGAGATTCACGTCAAAGATCAGACCTAGATCTTTTCGTTTGTCAACTCTTTCGATTCTACTATTATTGTAAGTGTAATTATACTGAAAAGAGTTTTTTCTACTGACGTTTCATAATAGCAACTTTTCGATTGTCATTTCAGTTTTGAAACGACATTCTTTTAGGCACTGAGTGCGTGAAAGTTACTTTTAGGCACTCAGTGCGTAAAAGTGACTTTTGAATGCGTAAAAGTGACTTATGAGTGCGTAAAAGTAATTTTTAAGCACTAGTGCCTAAAAGTGTCATTCATTATTCAGAAATAAAAAACACACTAAACACATATTTGAATTTTGTTTTGTATTTATTATGAATATTGAAAATGGAATTACTGAATTGAACGTTTGGGTTACTCAAAACAGAAGTTTGTGTTATTACTTACTTTCTAGGATTTTAATTATTGATGTCGAATTTTGAAAAGAAAATCGCATGATGTCAGGTGTCAAGTAAAAGCAGGTAACAAAGATTTTGGGTGTAATCGACTTATTCACATGAAATAAAATTGTGTTTTTTTATTATAAAATGCCAGTAGAAAAAATCTTGTATACAATACGTTACGAAACGATGTCTTTTAGTCACTCGACGTGTTGTCCAACTCGGCTTTGCCTCGTTGGACAATTTTCACGTCGCGTGCCTAAAAGACGCTCATTTCGTAACTTATTGTATAAATAGCTATTTATTAAGGGTAAATGACATACAGTTACATTTACTCATATTTAGATTAAAGCTATTCGCTGTACCCCAATTAGATACATTACAAAAGTCTTTTTGAAGAGTTTTACAATCCTCGATAGAATTTATCAGGTGAAAACATTTGAAATCGTCAGGAAACAGTAAGCCTTTGACGTTCTCAAGATTGCCCATAATACCATTTATAGCTGCTGAAAACAGAAGAGGGCCAAGATTAGAGCGCTGAGGTATCCCTGATGTGCTCTTGTACATAACAAATTTAGATCTTTTGATTTCTATATATTGAAATCTATGGCTAAGATAGGATTGTATTAAGTAAAATAGATAAGATAATACATCCATATCGTTTAGGGCTTACATACAATTACGCATTGCCTCACCCTATCAAACGCCTTCTCCATATCTGTGTATATTACGTCCACTTGTGACTTATTGTCATTTATTGCGATAAATATAATGACAAAATGTGATTAAGTTGGTAAAAGTTGACTTTTTAGGAAAAAAACCATGTTGGTATAATATTATTTTGCACGAAATTTCACTCAATAATCGATCAAAAATAATTCTCTCACAAACTTTAGAGATCGCCCCTACAATTAAGATAAAACGATAATTTTTTATATCTTTTCTGGCACCAGCCTTGTACACAGGTATAACTTTGCTTGTTTTCCATTTATCAAGGTACACAGACGCTTTCAAAATAAAATTAAATAGAAATTTAAGAGGCAACGCCAAATATTCACTGCAGCCCTTTATGATATGAGCAAGTACGGACACTATTGCTTTGTTACCCTTAATCTTTATAATATCCTTTTGAATTTCGGTCCTGCAATCAAATTGTCGCAGAAGTGCGACTTTACAGGAAATTTACTGCAAGCTACGTCAGCATCATCAATAAAAACCGATTTAAAAAATCAGCAAAGCCGTTAGAAATGTTTTGCGGTCCAGTGTACGTTTTGTCATCAGAAATCATTTCCTGAAGAACATCTGGATGATCCTTAAGACCTTTTACATATGACCAAAAAAAAATTAGTGTTTGATTTTAAGCTAATTTTTACGTCATGCAGATATGTATTTAGAGCAAGCTAATTTCATTTTGGCTTTTATTCTGTTGCGTAGGCCCATAAATATGGACCTCCAGTAGTTTGATCTGTATTTTTTTGATTTCAGAAAGTACTTATGCTTCCTTTTGATGAGAAAAATAATAAATATGTCTATCAAACCATACAGGATATTTCTTATCAATTTGGGTGGACTCAAGAATACATCTTTCGAAAATGTTACGTCGTTTTAAAAAGTTACCCAGAATAGTGTAGAAGGCGTTCATAAATGTATTTACATCTGTACCGTTTTTTAAGATATCCCAATTTTCATTTTTAAAAAGGTGGTAATTAACAGAAAATTGGCTTTTTTAAAGTTAAATTTGGTTGTAGATACAACCTTTTAGTTTTTAGACAGACACGAAGGCAGGGATGTTGATTGTCTATAGGTATTAGATAGTCATCTGTCTATTTTTTCAAAGAAGTTCTCATATATAAAACTTGGACTGTCTGGAACAATACAGAGTGTCAATTTGAAAACTTCCCACCCCTAATATCTCGGAGTAGAAAAATTTTCAAAAAAATACCTGAACACGTCAAGTATAATTTGAAGGTGGATGAGTTTTTATGCAAAATGCACCTCCCCCCTTTTAACCCCCCAACCCCCAGAGCCATCCCCTAGAAAATCTTAAATGGGAAGAGGGGTCAAGTAATACGTCATTTTGCAGGGTTGGTTTTTAATTCCATACATTTTGGTACCAAATTTCAATACTTAAGTTCAACTGTTTTGCTTTTTTGCAACTTTGACAGGCTGTAAAACCTAAACGGTTAATTTTAGACGAAAACCGTTCTTACATTATTATCTTAGATTTTTATAAACTATCATTTGACAGCAACTTTGAATTTAATCCATGATAAAAATTCTGGTTAAAAATTTAATCTCTGGTTAAATTCAAAGTTGGTGTCAAATGATAGTTTATGAAAATCTAAGATAAGAATGTAACATTGGTTTTCCTCTTAAATTAATCGTTTCGGTTTTACAGCCTGTCAAAGTTGCAAAAAAGTAAATTTCCAACTGTCAATATTTCTGAAACCGTTGATATTGAAATTTGGTACCAGAATGTATGGAATTAAAAACCCTGCAAAATGATGTATCACTTGACCCCTCTTCCCATTTAAGATTTTCTAGGGGGTGGCTCTGGGGATTTGGGGGTTGAAAGAGGGGAGGTGAATTTTGCATAAAAACTTATCCCCCTTCAAATTATAGTTGACGTGTTTCAGGAATTTTTGCGGAAATTTTTCTACTCCGAGATAATAGGGGTGGGAAGTTTTCAAATTGACACCCTGTATACACTAAAACTATACAGGGCTTTCATTTCAAAACTTGCCACCCACGTTATCTGCGTAAAGAGGCATATTTGCGAAAAACGCCGAAACATGTCAACAAATTTATTGAGAGGGAAAGTTTTTTACGTAAAACTGGACTTCACCCCTTCAACCCCCTAAGCTCTAGGGGGTTGAAATTCTCAAATAAGACAAGGGGTCGAGTGATAGATTATTTTAAAGGGCTGTTCAATCTGTACATTTTGCCGTCTTATTTTTCAAATTTGACCTCAGTATTGCAGAAACACCCATTTCAATGTTCAAAAATGCCTATTTATCCCTAAACACACCTGCTTAATTACCTGTTGCTGTAATAAAAAGGTAGGTAAAAAAGCAGGTGTGTTTAAAAATAAATAGGCATTTCCCAATAAACATGTTTCGCAACTTATAGTAACGTTAAGTTATATAATGGGTATATAATAGTAACAAAGGTATATAAGAAGGTTTCCAAGTTTCATAATCTGCAACCTATGGTAACATAGTTTTATAAAGTATTTATAAGTTTACTATAACTAACAGGTATATAATAAGGTGATGTAACTATTTCCATCACCATTTTATAAAACTTTTGAAACCCGTTACTAAAGTATTTATAAGAAATTTTTATAAAGGTTACCGTAACCTCATTTATATAACTAGAATACCCCTAGTTATATAGAAGTGTTGTCAATGACCTTTATAAAACCTGGAAACTAGTAGTGTTTGCAGTATATGTTATAAAACTTTTGGTAACCATAATTTCTTTTTTAAAACCTTTAGTAAAACGAAACTACCAAATTTGACATATGAGAATAATCAGGTGTCTGTTGTTGTTTATTATTGTTATAAGAAATCTGTGCATACTGCTTTTAAAAAAAATGAAGTTCAGCAGATCATTTCGCCGAAAAATTTCAAAAAACTTTAATAAAATCTCGAATTCAGTGCCCTCAGTATCTTCCACGAGGACACTATAC